TGATAATGTGCTCATTTTAAATTTCTTGAAGATAGTATAACGAAGATTGGCATAGTCCACGAACTTTCCGAACGACCCTCGTATTATATGAGATAAATTCGAAGATACGTTTTTGGTCAGAATCTGAGTCTTGAATACAGTTTTGCAGATTAGAAAAAAATATAGTTATTAACTTCAGAACACAGGGGTTCATTTAAATTGTTAATAAAATGAGTGTTGGTGATATTTAGTTGGCCAAGTTAAATATAATGCGTTCAAACAATACAAGCTTAATGGAATATTAAATTATGCAGACAGGATCGTTCTGCCGATGTTCATCATATCGGAGTGGCTATATATTTTATAAGCAAGTATCACTTAAATACCAAATTTAAATGGTTTTACACCCTTCCATTTCTCGCACCAATAAAGACACTTTTAAAAGAGACATTTCTTTCTAAAGCTTTGATCCTGTACAGATTTCATATACAGTTGCGCTTCATTAATCCGGAAGCTTGTGTTCCAGAGCAAATCTTCCGGATTACTGAAACATACATGTATAGAAATTGTTCCGAACACATTTCGTCCGGAAGGTGAAGCGGAGTAGACTCCAATGTATTCTTCTTTGAAAACTTCAAAGGTTTTTTTTTTTTTTTTTTTTATATATATAGAATTAGTAAATCTCTAGAGTTAGATGAATCAAAAAATGTGTCAATGTGAGCAAAAGTTTAACTGTATACATGTAACAAAAGTAAAACTCTTCAAATCATACCTACGATATAAAAATGATTCCTGTCATCTGCTGATAAGGAAATTAGAAATATCAAACTCGATCGAAAATACATGTATTATAAACCGCTGCAACCTCTTTGTCATGGCTTTACTTCAGCAATGAAGTTCAATTCAATTTTGAAAAATCCATTTTAATCCACTATATTATTGTATTATATAATATCGTGCCAATGAACTAAATACTTGATCTATAATAAATACCTGATATACATTGACTTATGCACTGCACTTGTTATATGATGCAAGATCAACATTAAATGAATTGACCGATGCAAACACATTGTGTATTTATGTTAAAATAAAACATGATATTAGTTGGAAGGAAAATAAATTCAATCCACGTGTAAAAAAAAAATTCTTTCTTTAAATGAATATGACCTGAGCTAATTGCGGATTAGACTTCATTCACTTTCAAAAAAAAAAGACTACAGTAAAACCAGATTTACAACAACAACACTATTCAAAGTGGCAAGACATTTATTTTCTGTGATTTAAAATGCAACAAATGTTACAGGTATTATATATAAGATTTTATTATGTCGATAGATTTGAGCTGATTTTGGTGTGCGAGTGACTATATATAATTATAACGATCTTGAGTTACAGGTCATTGCATTCCCTCTGATCCACGCTTGAAAAGAAAAGAAGAGCGAATCCTAAACCATTCGCTTGCAAACATGTTTCAAAATTTGCTTGTATGATATACCAATTTGAATTTCTATCGACTGCATGTGAGAACATTTTTATAATTACAGAAAAAATCTCCTTATACGAACAATAGAACAATGTTCAGCCTTTGCCTACCAAGAACGATTACTATGTGGATTTTTTAATCATTGAATTTCTAATTTTTAGCAAAAGTTAATTATAGAGATAATTTTGACACTATGGAATATAACGTGTAAAACGTTCCATTACTATACTTTTTGTTATTCTTATTCAAAGAATTTATTATTCTTACTTTAAAAACATATCATTCTTATTCAATAAAATGTTGATTCCTATTCGATAAGTTGCCATTTCTATTCGATAAATTGTTATTCCTATTGGAAGAATATGATTCCTATTCCAAAATATATCAATTATGTTCGAAAACATTTTTCCTATTCGATAACATGTCATTCATATTCGAAAACATGTGATTATTATTCGATTATTTTGTCATTCCTATTCGATAATTTCGTCATTCTCATTCGATAATCATGTGATACATGTATATATGCAATAAACTTGTTATTCCTATTCGAAAACATATCATTCCTATTCGAAAACATACGATTCCTATTCGATAATCTTAAAAAGATTATGGAATAGAAATTATAGGTTTTCTAATAGGGATGGTATGTTTTTCAATAGAAATCACATTTTTTCGCAAAAGAATAACAACTTATCGAATAGGAATCACATTTTATCGAATAGGAATTATGTGTTTTAAAATAATAACAACAAATTTTTTGAAAAAGTATAATACTGCAACGTTTTACACACCATAATGGAAACTATAGTTAGTTATAGTGATAACGTTGGCATTTTTGTTTACTGTATAGTGATCACACAGTCTGACTAAAGCCATCCCCTACTATTTCACTTCGTTCGTAGGGTCCCTACGAACGAAGTGAAATAGTAGGGGATGGCTTTAGTCAGACTGTGTGATCACACTGACAATTTGATTTTCTTTAGTGATAACTTTGAAAACTTCAATTTTTTTTTTTATAGTTATAACTTTGATGTTCTTTATATTGTTAAACATGTATTTTATATGATAACTCTACACAATCCGGTTTGACGTATTTTTTGACATTTGCATACTTTGATATACGGAAGCCCATTTAGGACCTATCGAAAATTATTTTTGATTTCGATATAACGAATTGTCGAATTTGTTATAACGAATTTAATTCGTTGTAACAATTTCTTTGAATTCGTTATAACGAATTCAATCTGTTATAACAAATTTATTGAATTCGTGATAACGAATTCAAAAATTTGATATAACAAATTAGATTGTTATAACAAATTCTAAAACTTGTTATAACGAATTAAATTCGTTAAAACGAATTCCTAACTTTGTTATAACAAATTAAATTCGTTAAAACGAATTCGACAAATCGTTATATCGAATTCATATATATTTTTTCTATAGGCCCCGATTGTTAAATTTGATTAAACGAATTTAATTCGTTATAACAAATTCAATAAATTTGCTATAACAGATTAAATTCGATGTAACGAATTCAAAGAAATTGTTATAACGAATTAAATTCGTTATAACAAATTCGACAATTCATTACGTCGAATTCAAAATATTTTTCGATAGGTCCTAAATGGGCTTTCGTATTGATATACTAATAAGCATAATATCATTGGATCCTCTGTTTATTTTGAAAACTTTGCTTTATTGTAGTGATAACTTTGACATTTTGATTTTTGTTTGTTTGTTTTGTTAAGGGTTGTTTGATTTTTAAAACATTTTTAAAAACTTGGCTGCAAGCCCTGATTTATTCTAACAATTTATTCTAACAAATTAGTTTCATTTGAGATCAGCTTTACAATCACCAGTAGATATATAAAATTCACTCCTTAGATTAGAATCAATATACTTTACGGAAAAAAAAATATCTTTCTGTAATTAGACGCGGGACCCGTACCATGAATGGAATGGAATGACCACTAGTGAACTACAATGTATTTATCATAAGTTACAATGTACCTTCAGCACGTTCAGTGTCCACTTTTTGTAAATTTCCAAATTATATGATATTTGGAAAGTGTGCGGGTTATTTCTTTCTTTTATAATTCATGATTACTCATGTATCTTGCTTTGTTATGTTTAAAGACCATCAAACACTAGGTTTTTGTATTGCAGGCAAGAGAACTGCATTTTGCAGAGTTTGTAGGTCAAAGACAGGCCTTTAACTCAAAAGCTATAACTTTGTAATCTCAAACACGATACCACGTAATTAGCTGAGTTTTAGATTAAATGATAATAACTAGTAATGAACCACGTGACTGGCTCATTTCTAAAGAGATATCAATAATAAACATCCCCAGTAACATGAAATAGGCATCAAATCTGACTCAATTTGACTTTTATAAGGTAAGAAAAACTTAGTTCTGCTAATGATTTTAATATAGTTATTTTTATCTATATTTTTTCTTGTTTATTCACATTTCAAGAGATAGTTCAGAAAAGAATGCTTGGCATTATTGATTTTCGGTGCGTCTCCAGTTTACTAGAATTTAATTTTGATGCAATTGCTCCTGTAATCTCATGTATTACAATATTTAACGAAAAATGCGTTTGTCAGTCTCATTTATTCCATCGTCAATTAAAAATGTTATCTACTAGTACTTATTTTCACACGAATCTTTAACTCATGTATCACTGTCCCCTATTTATCAATCATCTGTAACCTTAACATTTCATTTGAGGTGTTTAGTCGCTGTGTCAGCGATGCACCAATATTGAATATGAAAGATTACTCTAAAACGGAATATTTGATATTCACTGTGATATAGAATAAGCTCTATTTGACACTAGATCTTCTTTGTATAATCAGTATTCTATCCGTTACTTAACAGAAGAAATATTGACATGCTATCGTTTTCCCTTCATTAACCGCATAAAGCACCTAGCAACCCGCGTCAAATGCGAATAAAAAAGCACCGAAGAACCTAGAAAAGATGACTGTTGATGACTTATACGAACGGTGAACTTTAGTGATCTAGTACTACACAATTTTAATAAATGGATTTGAAATTAATATAGATTGGAACCAGGCAAGAATCTGGGTTATCGTCCGAATCTTTTTTGTATTAACAATATACATCAGTCAATACCTTATTGTTTTATCTCGATAGCTTTAAATATTTCAGCAATACTGTAATGCAATAGACCCCTTTTAAAACGGTCTCTGTAATTTGTAGGAATACTATTACATGTCTTTCGTCTTTGTGCATGTGTGTGTGTTTTCCTATTTTTAAAAAGATGAAATTTGGTTGATAACATTTTTTCCTTAGAGAGTATTACATAATTGTACCAAAATCTCTTTACATGTCCTTTTAAAAAATTTAGTTTATGTATTAGAGAACCTATTGATCATCAGATTCACAAGTAAACCATGCTATAAAGCTTTCCTGGCCATTTAACAGATACAAATTCGTTATTAAAATCTTATCATCGATTCACTGTACTTTTTTCCGCTTCTAAACCAAATATTTGCTTTGCAAGATTAGTGTGTGGAGTATTCATTGAACACTATTTATTTTGAATTGATCTTCAAATCATAACAAATTCGTCACATTGGCAAATTGAACATATAGAAATTGTATTGTTTTTTAGTTGTTCATAATGCGATTTGAATTTTTTCTCTAGAATCAATATATAATCCTTAGTGACTGCCCGAAGGTCCGACCCACAAATTCACTAAGTAAACATGTTGGCAAAAATGAAAGCTAGTACTGAGCAAGAGCTCGAAAAGAAGACAGCGGATTTCGAGAGAAAACCCGCCCCTTCTGGAGACCGCAAACAGAGTTACGTAGAACGGAAGGGGAGTGTTAGTGAAAAAAGAAGAAACAGCGTTGCACCAATGCCTAAAAAACCGATAACGGGTGGCAAAGCCGCCCAGCAGATGGGTCATTCCCTGACCGGAATGTTGGCCACCAAAAAGTTCTTTAAGCGGTTTTCCAAAAGAGAAAGAACACTATCGACAGTTACTGTTCCACCCAAGGAATATGAACCGACTTACCGAATGGTTCCAAAACGGAAGTTTAATCAACAGCACGTGCATGATGTTGTCAAAAAACTTGTGGACGAAAAGCTGGATAAAATGATTTACAGCAAAAAATGGTCACCCAATCTAACAAAAATTATGTGTAACCAAATTAAAGAGAAGATAAAGACATTGAATTATGAAAGGTACAAACTGATTTGCAACGTAACACTTGGAGAAAATAAAGGACCCGGTATCATGGCAACCAGTCGATGCTCGTGGGATCCGAAAACGGACGATTTTGCTACTTATTCCTTTCAGAGCAAACATTTATACTGCACAGTAACAGTTTTCGGTGTTTACAAGGAATAATGCCAATTCTGTAATAGTAATGTACTACATTATAATTCTGATATTGGTGAGGATGACATAACTGTGATTATGATGATCTTTTTTGAATGTGATAGTGTGCAAGCCTTTTATTATTGAATACTATTATTTTTGGTGCAAAGAAAGACTTACTGGAAAAATAAAAGATTGACAGTACATGTACATAACAGAGTTGTGCTTAAGTGTTAGGTCTACAGACGTGCGTGCGAAAATGAAAAGAATGCTCTAAATGCAATATTTATATTGCAGATTTTCTTTTCAATGAGATTATCTTTTTCTTATAGTTTCAAATTGTGGAGATAGTGTCATTGCATTTAAACTTTGAATGAAATTAAGCTGTCTATCCTTGCTTCTCTTGGAATTATACAAGTAAATTTTATCTTGACAACGCATTTGTATCTGTCTGTTTTAAAATATTTTGATATATTCTTCTGATACTAGCTAAACAAAACCTATTCTAATCTAGGATCAATACATTTAATACTATCGAAAATGCATTTGAAATTGATTTTTCATTTCCTACTTCTGAAAGCAATGAATAAATTTCGAAATTAAGACAACATGTTGAGAATTTTTTCAACGATTTCTTCTGAGAAAATATAAAAATCAATGATGTATATTTGAAAGTGACATGGATACTTTTTTCCTTCTATAGGTGTTTCAGTTGAATTGTTTTCTTTGGTTGGTAAAAACAAAGCAAGATCGAATATGTAAACATAAAGCAACTTCTGGGTAGCAGAAAATCAATTCCGAGGCATTGTCGAAAAAATTAAAGGTAACTGGGTATGATTTGAATGTAACTTTGAAAAAAAAAAATCTTAGCTCTTTTCCTCGCTATGGCATTCATATAAAATAAAATGTAGATCGGCGTAGTTTCTTGAACGAATAAAAGCTTTTAGGAAATACAGCTTACTGCAAGAAATAACTGCATAATTATCAAGGAGGAAACAAAGTACTGAGATCACTGAAAAATTGGTTTATTTGTTGATTTGACAAATTTACATATATTCTTTTAATTCCCATATTTCATGAGTTTTACCATTACTTCTTGTCTATCTGCATGTATTGCAGATAATTTTTTTTTCTTATGGAAATGCAAATTTCTTGAATACAAGAATATGCAATTTAAATGCACTGCCCGGAAAAAAATCTAAGTGAGGCACAAAAAAGGCCACAGGCCTACGCATGCACATGTATATATAGATAAGTATATCAACGAAAATTTAGGTAAACAATAAAATGCTTTCTTTGGTTGTTAGTACATGAATATTGCATGTATGTAGTTGAGTGTAACATTGAAAATTTTCACCCCAAGAAAACCATTGTCAACCAAGGCGCAGTGTTGACAATGGTTTTCGAGGGGTGAAAATTTTCAATGTTACACTCAACTACATGTAATATTTATTATATTATACTGAATGTTTTATACAAATACATATATCAGTGAACCTTGCGCGCATAAATTCTGCGCAGTCACTAATTTTTGGAATATCACCCGTCGGCAAGCAATGTTGACTGTTGCTACGCTGGAGGGCGTGGCTTCATCATTCAGCGGGTAATAGTGTTTTTTAACAAATGTTTCTCGACGAATCAGATTCAACTAATTTACATGAAAGTATAATATTACGGAATGTTGCAGAAAAAATACATAACCCGCGTAAGCGGGTTATGTGAATTTTTTTCTGCAATAGCTCCGACGTTAATTCCCATACTAACAAACAAAGAAAGACATTTTATTGTTTATATTTATATTTATAAAATAAAATATTCAAAGTTAATTAAATAATTATGTTAAGTATTGTATTATAGATGTTTATGTCATTGTATGCATAATTGATGGAACAGCCGTTGCTTAAGAAATCTATGCAGGCGGCTTGCTTAGTGTTGTTTACTGACTAATTAACGGCAATGGTTTGTATAAGAAATAAAGGAAATAATGTTCAGAGGATGTAAATATTTTTCGATAAACAGTGCAATATGAAATAACACCAGGTGGGTATACATGTAAAAAATGCATCAGCTATTTGCGTTTTATTCTCCGAATTGCACTGATCTTATTATTGCGAGTTTTTCTCGCTTCGAAAGTGGACATCACATGTTGCCAAGCTGACATCCTTTATGTCTCATTAGCCAAGTTATAAACCTCTAAATATCAAAAGTAGTTCAGACAATCTGACTATTGATCCATCTTCTTTTATGGGAATATATTTACATCCACTGAATAGTATCTCCTTTATTTCTTAAGAAAACCATTGTCGTTTATCAGTCAGTAACCAGTGCTAAGCATATCCTTGAGCAGTGGCTTTTCCGTCAATGAAATGTACAATGATGTACATATCAATAATACAATATTTAACCTACTTAATCGATTATTTGCACAGATATAAATGTAAACAATAAAATGTCTTTCTTTGGTTGTTAGTACGGAAATTAACATTTCAGATATTGCAGAAAAATTACATAACCCACTTAGGCGGATTATGCATTTTTTTCTGCAAAAGCTGCAACATTAATTCCTGTACCAATAACGAAAGGAAGCATTTTATTGTTTAAGATAACCATCTTCCTTGGAAGACGGTATACAGAATTGAAAATTTTAAATTCTTCGGACTATGCACTTCCTCTCTTTTGTGATTGATAGAAAATGGAGTGAAAATATTGGTTACAATGCTGTTCAATACAAGAGAGATAATTTTCTGGTGTTCTAATTTTCGTACGACTTAGCACGTTTTCTTTTTAAAAAATCGACAAAAAGAACAAAAGAAAATTTCAGTAAATGAAACTACCACTTTATTTTTTAAAGCAACTACTATTATTTAAAAGTGTTTCTTTATTTTCACGGTTAATAGAAATTGAATGCAAACATCAAAATTTATGTTAATTCTATTTTTCTTTTCTAATTTTGTTTTGCACGTGAACCCTATGCATTGATCAGGTAGACGCAACATTCCAACAAAACAAAGGCCTAACAATTGGTATAAAACACGTCAGCCAAAATACGATCCAGTAATAGATTATGTTTGCTAACAAGGGCATTATAATTTCCATAGAATTGACGAAATGCTGACTTTAAACAAGGTTGTTGAAATCCCTGTAACATCAACTTATCTGTCTGTAGCCTACCTCGAAATTTATCGTACTCGGAGCATGCTCTTGAGTATCAAATATTTTGGAAGGTGTAAATATACATTATCGTAAATACTAGTATTAGAATGAAATTAATTATTGATGGATTCCTACACATACTCGGATCTATCATAGACAGATAAGTATATCAAAATGCTTAAAACAGGTTTATTAAGGAAAAAATTAATAACAAAAGCTTGTTTTGAAAAATATTTGTTATGAAACCAGGGAAGCTTTATACCAATAAAAGCGTAGCGTACCTTGACAGGTACTTACAAATATTTATGTCTCATAATATAATAATACATGTAGTTCGTCCGTAGTTGTCCGTGATTACTATAAAAACGCTAGAAGAAGTCAATATTTTAGGCATGAAGATGACTTATGTTAAAAATTATAGACTGACCACTTAGTATTTTATGCTACTGTACTCATTAAAAGTGTTAGAAGTTGTAAAACATTAAGATATCTTACCAATCGTTAGTTATAGTATTTCTTATTTAAAAATCTAATTTTAGTGGCAAGAATTCAACTAAAACATGTTTGATATAATTATATGTTGAATTATATTAAATCAATATGGAGCTAAAGAACACTAATCAAGCTCTAAAGACCATAGAAAATACAAACCAGGAGCAGAGCAAACACAGACCTCTAAAACATCAGAGATGGGATCAGGTCCATGGAGGAGTAGGCATCTCCTGCCGACCGGTCTCACCCGCCGTATTCGATTTAATAATAGATTGTATTTGCTGACAAGGTCGTTGTATCGACCATAGAACTTGCGAAATGATTACTTTAAACGAAACAGTTGTTCTTGTTTCATCAACTTGTTTGTCAATAGCTTGCCTCGTTTCAGAAATTTTTCGTACGTAGAGCATGCTCTTGCATATCGAATCAAATGGAAGACATAAACCCTAATATGCAGGATCTTTGAAAAGGTTGTTCACAGTAAAGCACTGGCAGTGCTCGATTTAATGCAGTTGACTACCGAGCAAGGGTACTTTCAGTATATTGAGTTCATTTTCTTGAATATCAGATTCTTTTTGCTACGGAAAATGAGGACATGCACACACTGCGACTAGGGCGGGGCAGTAGACTCTGTTGTTGAGCATTTTGTAGATAACTATGTGATGAATGGAGATCTGGTCAATAATGGCCAATGTCTCTGCGAAAGGGCTGAAAGAAAACGAATAGAGGTGGATGTATATGGCAACTCTCAATACAGGTTTACTGATTCAGACAGCACCAATACAAAATCACTTTCACAGGGGGGAATTTTAAAACCATAATATTATTAGGATCAAATCTACAAAAAACATAGCGTAGAGTATTGTTTCCTGAAGCATAATATCTAATGATGATATACAGATGGAATCAATTTCTGCTATTTTACAAATGTTGACAGTTTAGTCCCTGTGGTTGATGCAATCAAGCAAAGAACTAAATTTTAGGTCCTTTTATTATATAGTTATCAGTATTCTGTCAGTATACCCTAAACCCAAAGGAGTATAAGCAGAGATTTGTTAGCTCTGAATTTTTCAATTAGAAAGAAGTAAAGTATGGAACGCCAAATTAACATAATTGCATTCAAGTATTTATACCTATCTTCAAATAATTTTACCTGTCTTCAAATCAATTGTTCTTATCTTTAAATTAATTGAAGATAGTTTTAATTTAATTATACCTATCTTTAATTCATTTGGAGATAGGTACAATTGATTTGAAGAAAGGTATAATTGAAGATAGGTACAAATACCATAGATTAAAGATGGGTATAATTTTGAAGTGAACCTAGTTATAAATGTAATATACCTATCTTTAAATTCTTTGTGAAGATGTATTAATTGTACCTATCTTTAAATCAATTGTACATATCTTCAAATGCATTGAATATAGGTATAATTCAATTGAACCTATCTGTAAGATAGATGTAGTTCATTTGAACCTAGGGCCAATTTTTTAAAGATAGGTCTAATTATTTATTCCTATCTTTAATTCATTTAGACTTATCTTCAATTCAGTTGTACCTATCTTCAATTTATTTGAAGATAGGTTAATTATTTGAAGATAGGTACAAATATTTGAAGATAGGTATTTATATTTGAATATATGTTTATTTGGCGCTCCATAGTAAAGAAACCTCGTACAAGTAATTTTCAGAGGAAAGAATCAGATGAAAATAAGTCAGAACCAAAATTTGCAGCAA